CCCGCAGAACCGCCGAGACCCGCCCGCCGCGTGCGCCGAGGCGCGGGAGCAGTCGCTGGAGATCCGCCACGAGCTGCAGCAGCTCTCGACACAGTCGGTGCGCGGGCGCATTGTAGAGGGCACGGCGCTGGCCGGGTCGGGGTGGGGGTGGGGGTGGGCCTTCAATGCAACCGAGGGCCGCCCCCGGGGTTGTTGACGAGAAAAGGCTGGCCGCTTGAGGCCGTCGCATGCATGCAGCGGCTGGGCTCTCTAGTTGACCGCGGGTCGGGGCCTGACTGGCTATCCTTTGACCGCGGAAAGTTTGGGGGCCGAGGCGCTCGGGAGGCTGCCAGCCGGCAGACCTGGGGCCGTTCCCCTGTGACTCTGGCCGTCGGCAGCGGCCCCGCACCGTTGGCGCGCGGTCATGCAGGCCTAGGCCGCAGGCATGCGAATGCTTCCCGTCTCCTCGCCGCGCAATCCGCACCCTCCCTCTTTGACCTTGGCAATTTAACGTCCATGCACGTCCCTGGTCCGCCTTGCCCCCAGACGACCAAGATGCGGGCGTTCAGGGAGCACCACTGGGAGATCTTTGGCTTTGACGATGACGAGGACGGGATCAAGGGTGAGGGGCGTGTGTTGTGGGAGGGGTTGGGGAGTTGGGGCGGGGAATCCTGTGAGCGTGACGTGTAGGTGTGATCAAATCTGCGCATGCGGCAAATGAATGGTGTGTGGGTTGTGGCGGCCTTCTCGTGCAAATTTTCATTCATTGCGCGTCTGATGTGTGTGTGTAGGTGAGTTGGTGTGTGTGCGTGAGGCTGCCAGCAATTGCTAACAACTTGGCCCACGCACGGGCACCTGAGAGGCAATGGACGAGGATTTGCACAAGCCATCGCTTCCCAGGTGCCCATGCAAATGTCCATTTGACAACCCCACAAGACACACACGCGCACACCCACACACAACACACACACACACTTACACACAACACATGCACAGAGATCGCCGACGCCAGCAGCCGCGCCAAGGAGCACTTCCTGGGGCAGCTGTCAGACATCCTGTCCCACGGCCTGCGCCATGTGGTGGCGCCCCCCAGTGCTACCTGGCACCACAGCGGGTACCTTCACGACAGCGCGTCGCCCTACGCCCACAAGGTCTGGGGGAGGGGTAACGTTGGTTTTGAAGTGCGTGAGTGTTTGTGTGTGTGTGTGTGTGTGTGTGTACGTTTGCATACTCATTTCACTGACTGCACGCACGCGCGATGCAGTACATTGATGTGCGCAGGTAGTGAAATGAGTATGCACACACACACACACACACACACACATGCACACATGCACACACGCATACCGTCTTACATTTACACACACACACACTCACACACGTGCACACGCACAGGTGCACTTCAACGTGCACACTGTTTTCGACAACAGCCGCAAGCTGGGGGACTGGAGGGCGCGCGGCGTGAGCTTTGACATTGAGCAGTACAAGGCGCAGGTGGGGTTGGTGTGCTGCCCAACAGCGTTGGCCCTCACTGGGGGGGGGGATACTTCCGGGAGCGTTGTACTGCAGGTGGTGGAGGGCGTTTTCTCACTGCTCGGGCACCCAATGGCCCGTCCGGCAGTGGGTGGCACTCGACGAACCAACTGGGCGCATAGTTTGTTGAGGCATCACGCTCTTGGATGCGTTTGCATCGAGATCAAGCAGCCCTTTGCAACAGGCCGAGGCGGGACACACCGGCAATGACTCAGCCCAGAGGTTGGGGATTGGAGCGCCACGAGCACCAGGCGTTGGCCGCCTCCACGCGGCAACCGCTTGGTCTGTCCCTCAAGCAGCCAGCCGCTGCCCTCCCGCGGGAGGCCCTTGCCTCCCCGACTGATCAGCCCGCCCGCCCACAACTCATCACGCATCTTCCCAGATCCCCCATGTAACACTCTGTAGTTCCAGCGCCTCGCCTTGCCCGCCCCCAAAAACAACAAAACGAGCCATGGAC